GCGCGGCTGTGAGTGGCTGCGTGCGAGCCGCCCCTGCCCTTTTGCTCGCAGGCAGCGCCGCCCGCTACTGGCCCCTGCCACCGCTTGTTCCTGAACGAAATTAACAGCCGCCAGGGGCACGCCCAGCGCACGTCCACTCCCGACCCATAGCACCCACCTGCTATCCTTGGCCCCCGGCCTCCACCCACTGCCCGCGACCTTCATATACTGCCCCTCCCTCCGCTCCTCGATTGCTTTTTTCTTCTTCTCTACCCCAAAGGCACCCGTCTTCTACACTCGCTACCCACTTGTCTTCGGACGTCACATTCTTTGAACCATCCAGTCACTCTTTCCTGGATTTCAATCTATCTTCTTCGCCTGCTAATCCGTTCCCCGACCCGTCTTTTTCGTCTTATCCATATCCAATTCATTGTTTAAGAGCAAGGAACTTTTTAGAAGACCGCAATCATGATGAAGCTTACCGTCGCTTTCTTGGCCGCCCTCGCCGCTGCCGACGCTGCTGAGGCCCGCAGCCAGCGCTTTGCCCGCCGCCAGCAATACGGCTCCTACGGATCCTACCCTTCTGTTCCTCAGAACCAGGCTGGCTACAACGCCACCAACCCTGCCTCCAGCTCCCCGGTCCCCGTTGTCCCTGAAGCTGCCACCAGCGCTTCCCCAAGCCCATCCGCCCCCGCTGGCGGTGAGTATGGCGCTGGCTACCCTGCTGCCACTCCTACCCCCGCTGTCCCCGAGGCCGCCAGCTCTGCTCCTGCTGCTTCCTACCCCGCTGGTGGTGAGTACGGTGCTGGCAAGCCCTCCACCCCAGCTGTCCCCGAGGCTGCTACCAGCGCTACCCCCAGCCCTTCTGCTCCCGCTGGTGGTGACTACGGTGCCGGTTACCCTGCCGCCAAGCCCTCCACCCCCGCTGTTCCTGAGGCCGCCAGCTCTGCTCCTGCTGCTTCCTACCCCGCTGGTGGTAACTATGGCACTGGCAAGCCTTCCACTCCCGTAGTCCCAGAGGCCGCTACCTCCGCTACCCCCGCTGCTTCCTACCCCGCTGGTGGCAACTACGGAACTGGCAAGCCCTCCGTCCCTGTTGTCCCAGAGGCCGCCTCCAGCACTGGCTACCCCATGTACCCCACCGGAACTGGCTCTTACCCAGCCTCTTCCACCCCCGTCAGCGACATGGTCACCAGCACCATCTACAGCACCCAGATCTTCACCAAGACTGCCTGCCCTTCCACCGTCACTGACTGCCCTGCCAAGTCCACTTCGCTCGTCACCAGCGTTGTCCCCGTTGGCACCACCGTCTGCCCCCAGAGCGAGGTTCCCCAGGCCACTCCTACTGCTGTCACCAGCACCTACCCCGTCTCTGAGGTGACCTCCGTCTACACCGAGACCCTCGTCTACACCATCGGTGTCGGCACCACTGCCCGCCCCGTCACCACCGAGATCACCACCACCTCGACCTCCACCCAGTACAGCACCGTTGTTGTCACTGTTCCCGGCGCCAAGCCAACCCCTGAGGTTCCCTCTGACCAGACCAAGCCCTCTGGCCCAGCCGGTGGTGAGGGTTACCCTACTGGCCCAGCTGGCGGTAACGGCTACCCCACTGGCCCAGGCAGTGACAAGGACATCACCAGCACCATCAGCTCCACCTCCACCTCCACCAAGTACATCACCGTCAAGCCCACTCCCTCTGGTGATGTCCCAGTCGGCTCCGACTCCTACCCCACTGGCCCTGCCGGTGGTCAGGGTAAGCCCTCTCCTTCCACCCCTGCTGGTGAGGAGGGTGACGAGTGCGCTCCCGTTACCGTTACCGTAACTGCCAAGGAGACCATCACTGTTACCGCTGGTGGTGACTACCCCGTCGCTACCCCCGACTCCAACGAGCCCAGCTACCCTGCCAGCACTCCTCTTGTCCCCGCCGACAAGACCTCTGGCATGCCCCCTCACCCCACCGCTCCCTACGGAAACGGCACCATGCCCTACATCCCCGTTGGCACTGGCCCCGCTCCCGTCCCCAGCAGCGCCACCGCTTCTCTCCCCAGCTTCTCTTTCGTCTCTGAGAACTCCAAGCCCACTCCCAGCACCCCCGCTGCTGCCTCTTCCGCCCCCGCCTACCCCGTCGGTGGTAACTACGGTGCTCAGCCTTCTCCTTCCACCCCCGCTGCCGCTGAGTCCTCGCCTGCCTACCCTGTAGGCGGTAACTACGGTGCTGGCAAGCCCTCCACTCCCGTTGTCCCTGAGGCCAGCGCCACCCCCAGCCCTTCCGCTCCCGCTGGTGGTGAGTACCCCGCTGGTGGCAACTACGGTGCTGGCAAGCCCTCCACCCCAGCTGTCCCCGAGGCCGCTACCAGCGCTTCCCCAAGCCCATCCGCCCCCGCTGGCGGTGAGTATGGCGCTGGCTACCCTGCTGCCACCCCCACCCCCGCTGTCCCTGAGCCAGCCACCTCCAGCCCTGCTGGCGGCAACTACGGCAGCGGCAGCTACGGAAGCTACGGCACCTACTAAGCGCTGAAGCTCTCTACTCGTAGAGTAGCCTCGCGTTTTGTTTGCATCGCATGTGTATAGGGTCACTTGGCCCATTTTCTTGCCTGTCCACTGAGCCCATTGGGCCAAGTCTCCTCAGGCAAGGGCCAGACGCGATCATGTGGGTTACAATTGAGGTTGGGAAAAACATAGAAGTGTAGGTTCCCAGAGCAGTTTTGTTTGTATTACATGGACAATATATCCCTTCCCGTTGATACACCTCTATCCCACTGTTCGCATCTTATTCGTGTTTGTCGCGCTTGGGTCTCTGGTGCAAAGAATGGGCGATGAGCGACATGTCTCATGACTTCTTGTTCCAACCAACCTCTTTTTCCTATGTTGAGTACCTTGGACTTTGTTTTGAAAAGACCATCGGGGATGGCGGTTTACTTGCATTTATTCAGTCTAGCATCTTTCTTCGATTTTTGAAATCCTCTTTTTTTTTACTCCACCTCTTCTTTCTCAATTCTGAGTGACTCTTTCGTGATGTTTGATTAACCAACTCCTTCTCACGTGACTCTTACTAATCCCATGCTCATCCAATTATACTAAATCCCATTGCGTCACGTAGTTGAAACAAAGGCGCCCCGCCGCCACTGCCACTTGCTCATCTTACGCCATTGGCAAACACCCTCCAATCCAATCGCCGTTGAGCAAAATACAGTGGGACTGCGCCCCCCCCTTCCCCGATGGAACCCTGTTCTTTCAAATCTCCCTGCCACTGCCGCATGACCCTTGTTTGGCTGTACCTGCATATGCACATCCCTGTCAGTATCCACTCGGTGACATTTATGTGGCTCGTGCGCGGTATATTGGTGCAGGGATTAATTATCCTTGTTGGATTCTTCTACTGAGAAGAGCTGGCGTTGGCATTTGTTTGTCTTTTGCTCCTGTTTATCTTTATTTAAGAGATTTCTTTGGGGGGGGGGGCGAATTTTTGCTTTCGGATCCCGAGATCGCTGATATATGTGTATGGGTGTAGGTGAGTGACATTATTATTTGATTTGCCATTGGGCGATAATTGAGTGCGTTGGCCGCGCGGTTATGTTGGTGTGATATCCCGGGATTAAACAAAAAGCGCCTTTTGTTGTCGATTGGAGGAAAGGGGGGTGGGGGAAGGAGGGGGCTAATGATGTGATTAATTTCCTTATTAACTATCGATTAGTCTCGATTACTTTTATCCCGCGCCTACGTGTATGTGTGTGCGTGCGCACATGGTGCCTTTTCATTCGATATCATCACATTTTCCTATTCTCTTCTCAATTGCATCGTCATCATCCCCACACGCCGCCCATGGCTATCGCCATGTAGGTACAATCGTATTACTTGCTTACACATTTCGAAAATGCGCCATTCGTATCATCCCCACACACACACACACACATAACATCCGTTTGAGGCGTTTTCCCGCCCTTCGTATCATGTTCTAATACGAGATTATGCTATACCCTTCTTTTCACTCTCTCGTATAAAGGACTTAGTAAACGGCGTTTCTTACGCCGCTCCCGCCCCGCGGCGATGCGTGGAAAGTTTATCGGGAGTGGGGAGGGGGGGGGCGCACTTGGTGTCAATGCGTCTTTTTGGGGCGCATGTTAAGTTATTATGCGCGGAAAGGAAAGAAGAAGAAAGAGAGAGTTTGGAAGGGGGGTCCCGTGCGTTTTGTTCCCGCGTTGTTCTAGTAGGTGTGTACTTTTACTTACACAGGGCTGAAGAAGGTTTGGAGCCTTGTTTCGACGACGAGGTGTGGCGCATAGTATGAGTATCACAGGATTGAGTAATTTCTCTGTTTTTTTTTCGTTACTCTTTTGAGATATCTTGGATGTGTAGAACAAGTTGGATTCAAAGGTACTTGGTGCAAACTACCGATATCTTCTCGCCATGCTCCGCTCCCTAGTCTGCCGGCGAGCGTCATTTCCGAGTGAGCACAAAGTTTGCGATGCCCATTGCCCAAAACCAGATTTCACGCATTCGTCATCACATTTTTTAACACCTTGACTATCATTTCGGAAGTTTGTGGATACCCACCGTGATGCGCTTTTTATTTTTCAGGCACAGGCTAAGTAGATGGACTAAGGGGATCTGCAAACATGTTTGGCGCGGCCTGTGACTCGTTATTTTCCTTTTAGGCGGTGCGGATCTGGCGTGTTTTGAAAGGATCCGCTCATGGGTCATTGCTAGGTAATGTGTTGGGTGCGTGCGGGCTGTAAAAGTCATGGGCCGGAGATGTGGTGTTGAGATGCTTCAGTGGTGTGCATTGGTACAGTGAGATGGGTCAAGTAGTGACGACTTTCTTCTCATCAGTGCAACTATGCACTTGGCCAATTCACAGCACAACGATAGCAAGTCAACAGTGTGAAAGGATACTCCATCCTCCAAAACTCCACCGGGTATATCCATAACGCCAAACATGCAAGTCCCACCTGGACAACACAAAATGCACTCTCCTGACCTCAACATTGAGCCTAGTAACGATAAAAATGATGTCCAAGACGCCGTCGCCCACCATAGTACGTCGAGTAGTCTCTGTCACCAGACAAGCCCAGCTGAGAAGCGACATTGATGTAACCTTCCTCGTTCCTTTGCAACCCACTAGTTTTTATATTGCCGACTTTGCTCGCCAACACCGCGTCTGTATCCCACTTAGCACGGCAGTACGGGCACGTCGCATTGTTTCTAGCTGCAGCCACCCAGTTCTGCATGCAAACCTTGTGTATATTATTTCCGCAGCTCGTCTTGCAGTACACAATATCTTCCTTGGCATCCAGGTCGTCGTAGCAAATGGGACATTCGCCCTCAATGGGTTTGCGATTGCCGTCTTCGCTCTGCTTCTCCGTCTCAGTGCCGGGGATTGGTGGCGCATTCCTCATGACCTCGCGCAACTCGGAGCTAACAAGAGCTAGCTGATATGCAATCTCTTCTCGCGCCTTCAACACTCTTAGCATGACATACACAACGTGTTTGCATTGATTGCCCTTTCTGGCATGCGGACAGTCGCATGAGGGTTCGAGTCCAATCGAGACTGTATACACGTTGCCTGTCGAGCCTGCGATGAGAACCTTCTCCTCAGGCACATCGTCGGTCCCGCAGCGCTCGCGCGAGAGTACCGTCAAGCGCTGTGTAAATGCCCGTTCTCTTACATCCAGGTAGCTCTGTGGCGCCCTTTTACGAAATATCCTGGCCCGCTTCTCCTGAACAGGCACGTCAGGGTCACACTTGCTCTTCTTCGGAGGAGGTGCCTTCTTGGGCGAGTCTTGTGTAAGGTCGATTACTTCAATTTCGCGGCTACCAGATGCCGTGGGTGCATACCGATGCACTACGGGGGCACCATTGTCTGCGTAGGTCGTGAAATTGCGCTTGCGCGTCGCTGATGTCGACGGATGAATCGGGTACGGCATTGCGCTCCTCGGAGTCCTCGATAGATGCTCAGGGAGGGAGACCCTATAATTGGGAGATGAGAGTTGGAAAGAGGGGTTATGAATCGGTTATTGAGAGCAGCTTCCATGGAGGGTGTGCGTGCAGGAGTAATGGCATAAATGAAGCTGACCCCCGAGTCGCCCTTGCTCCGCGAACACACGTGATGACGTCGGTGGTTCCAATGGAATATTCCACCCCACACTTTCAATGCATACGCAACCCCGTTCAAATTACATTCAAATCGCTCAGGATGTAGCGTTGGATACAGTTGACAAATAAAATCAGAACAAACATGCTCTGACTCAGCCTTTTTATGCCTATCCCAACATGCACAATATGAGAGCGAATGCATCGTCTTTGGAACGTATAGTGTCATATTTCGCACATCAATTGGGGCAGGTAGATATATTTTGTACCCCGATATGCTGACATGAAAGCTGTGTAAATTATGTGATCTCTTCGCGTGGGTAAGTCGATATCATTGTCAGCAACAAGTGTGAGCAGTTACACACAACGAAGGGCCCTGATTTACAATTAGTCTCGTGGCTTCTTGCCGTTGATGATACCCCTCAAAATACACGGTATAACTAGTGGTTCTCCAAGTCTCTTATCTTGTTGGCTTTATCTTTATACCTCAATGTTTCCATGGTACCCCACAAACACCCTTGACCCAAAGAGTTCTACGCAGTACGAAATTCCAATGGTATGCTTGGTTGACCCATTCCGGTATTGGATATCAAAGTCATGTCCTGTCGTCCTTATGAAGCATTCAGAGGCACATGATTGCGCCGGTACCGGAACATGCAATTCTGATTTCCATATCTTCGACCAAAGTTAGCATGAGAGGGCAGGTATCGAGTCCTGTAGTCACTATTCTCATGTACAAAGAAAGAGCTTTTGACACGAATATCAGCTTTACTTTCCAATTGCACGCCCCGCGTAGTCGCGACTCTTCTCTCGTCGACAATGGCTAAGCTTAAAGTGCCGGCTTCGGCTCATCGTCTCTCCTTCAACCGAACAGCAGCTCAGACTGTCAAACAGACCACTGTAGTTCAAGAGCATTCCTTGCCGGAACCATTGTCGCCACCACCAGATATCGAGAGACACAGCGCGCCAGCTAGAGAGGACGACATATTCGGTAATGAAGAAGGCGCCGAAATCCAATACAAGACATGTTCGTGGTGGTGAGTATTCGAGCTCTTCTCAACCCACGCGAAGCCCCAAGTGACGCGTCTGTTCGGGGTTTCTTAACACGGCTTGACATGCCATCCTTCATTCCACATCTTGCTGACGTGAACGTTTAGGAACACGGGCATTCGTAAGCTACAACTCTCTCTGCGTTACCCCGCTCTGACAGTTTCAAGTAATGCTGGCTGAAAATGTTTCCCTCGGTGTCCTTGCACTCCCCCAAGCCCTAGCGATCCTGGGTATCGTCCCAGGCATGCTCTGCATATGCTTACTTGGGGTCATCGCCACATACACAGGATACCTGATTGGTGAATTCAAACTGGCGCACCCATCTGTGCAATCGTATGCCGACTGCGGGCAACTGATGAGTGGGCCCATCGCCCGTGAAGTAATTGCCGTTGGACAAGTTTTGGTGTTGGTGTTCATAATGGGCGCGCATATCCTGACGTTTGCGGTTGCCATGAATGCAATGACTGACCATGGAGCCTGCACAATCATCTTCAGTGTGATTGGACTGGCTGTTTCTTTCCTACTCGGGCTGCCGAGGACGTTCAAGAATATCAGCTACTTTAGCATCTTCTGTGAGTCAAGACATAGATAGCATGTCGCATGTCCTGCTTACTGTACTACAGCTTGCGTTTCGGTAATCGTAGGTGTCACGATAACCATGATCGCCATCAGCATCCAAAAGCCAGATATGAACCACATGGTGGCCATAAGACCTGATGTACCACTGGTGAAAGGTTTGGCCCCTGTCATGAACATTGTGTTAGCCTATAGTAAGTACATCAATCCCGCTTCATGATGCGCATTACCACTGACGCACTGTAGCTGGACATGTTGCCTTCTTTTCCTTTGCATCCGAACTCAAGGACCCGCGCGACTTCCGCAAAGCTCTCTTCTTTGAGCAGGGGATTGCAGTGACGTTTTATCTCCTTATCTCAGCGGTCATATACTACTATGCTGGACCCCTTGTATTCTCGCCCGCCTTGGGTTCTGCGTCTCCATTGGTCAGCAAGATTTGTTTTGGCATAGCACTCCCGACTATTATTGTCGCCGGTGTTGTCAATGGCTCGGTAGCTACCAAATATGTCTACCTTAGGATATGGAAGGGGACAAACGAAGTGCACACCAACAGCTGGAGAAGTCTAGGCAGTTGGTGGGGGATATGCTCTGGGGCATGGCTAGCAAGTTGGGTTTTGGCTGACGCGATTCCAAACTTCAATTTGTTGCTGGGTTTGATCGGCGCGCTCTTCGGGAGCTGGTTCAGCTGTAAGTTCTTGTGAAACTTTCTTTTGCGAAGTGACGATGTGTACTCGGCCAGTGGTCTGACACGCACAGATGCTTTTCCCCCACTGCTGTGGCTGTGGCACAATAAAGTCAACGGAAGACTATTCTCGTCGAAGCGGCAGACATTGTTTACAGTCCTGAATTGCTCGATAGTGTTGCTGGGGATGACCATTGTAAGCGATCTTTCTTCCCTGTTGGTCGAGGCGGCCTGGCTGACCCTGTGTTGCAGTTTGGCCTGGGCATGTGGTCGTCTGGGTGGGCCTTGCATGATGGTTCCGGTGGCAAGGTGTTTTCTTGTGAGAACAATTGGCATCCCGTCAGTTGGGTAGCGGGAGGCACAGACGACGGCTGACCGTGTTGGTTGCTATTCGGGGTTGGAGAGAGAAAGGGCGCTTCTCCTTTGGGACAGGGTTGGCCAAGGCCCAATCCTACCATGTAAATATTCTAGCTGGCATATGTATACATAGGCGTAAAAGTCGCGCGTGTCAAATATGCATGCGCAAAATGTTATCAACATGTCAAGTTCCAATGCATTAATATTGAGGTGGTGGTGGTGGAAACGGGGAGCCGCGCGATAACGCAACCAGGGACATGCTTCGGTGCGTTACAGTGCAGCGGCGCGCACCTCGACTCCTCACCTTACCAGCCAATAATAAGCGCCTCCCTACCCCAGCGCCCGTCCGAAATAAGCTCTCTCCGAAGGACAGACGCAGGCTCATGTAATCTGGCTAATGTCAATATGGACGGGAGTGCCAAGTGAGGAGGCTGGACGACCTGGCCTTGGGCGTCAGATCACCATGGGACACACCTCCTTGCTCTGCTGCTGATAAGCACCTACTGATTCACAGCGACGACTCTGGACTGCGGATCGCGCCATTGTTGATTCTGCGACGGTGGTACTACAGGTTGCTTGTTCGTACACATAGCCTTTAGCAATTGTCCTACCTTGACTCCCACCTCCTCTATCACTCATCCCCGAGCTTTCCGCTACCCAGCTCTTCCCCTAATCGCATTCGACACCCCCTCGCGACATTAACGCGACCGCGACCCAGCTTGCTACCCTTTTCCCCAACATGCCAGTCGAGCTCCGGAAGCGCAAGGCCGCGGCCCCAGCGCCAGCACCACCTGCAAAGAAAAAGGCACCCGCAAAGGCCAAGAAAGCCGACAGCGACAAGACTGTCGTCGAAAAGGTCCAAGACGCGGTCGTTGAGAAGGTCGAAGCCGTCAAGGAAGCCGTTGTAAGCAAGACTAATGGCGCCTCGACTGCTAAGTCCACCGGCGCGCCCAAAGTCGGCGACACAATTAACCTCGCTTCATTCGGCGGCGAAATCGAAACCAACGATGGCACCAAGACGTCGCTCGCGAAGCTCGTAGAAGAAAGCAAGGTCGGCGTAGTCCTATTCACGTACCCCAAAGCCTCAACTCCGGGATGTAAGTCGCGTCTCCCACCCACTCCCATTGCATATGGATCAGTTTCACTGACACGACCGTTTCTTTCGGCATAGGCACAACCCAAGTCTGTCTCTTCCGCGACTCCTACACGCCTCTAACCGCAACCGGCCTCTCCATCTACGGTCTCTCATCCGACAGCCCCAAGGCAAACACCACCTTCAAGACCAAGCAGAAGCTGCCGTACTCGCTGCTGTGCGACCCCGCGCAGACTCTCATCTCGGCCATTGGGTTCAAGAAGGCGCCAAAGGGTACGACTCGCGGTGTCTTTGTTGTTGATAAGCAGGGTAAGGTGTTGGCGGCTGAGCCTGGCGGACCCGCTGCAACGGTCGAGGTTGTGAAGAAACTTGTGGGTGAGTCGGAGAAGGTGCCGACGAAAGAGGAGGTCGAGGCAAAGGAGAAGGAGGAAGACAAGAAGGTTGCGGAGACAGCGGATGAGGTTGCGGATTCGGCAGCTAAAGTTGATGCTCCCGCTGCTGCTTGAAGAACTTCGTGCGATATGAGACGTTTTTCCGAGTAATTGAAAGAGTTTCTGTTAAGTGAAAATGTGTGTTTTGTTGGTGTGTTTTTTCTAGCTGGAACAATGAATAATCGAGATTTGTGATACATGTGCTTGAAGAATGCGTGAGTAGGTTTGCTATTATTGTTTTCTGGTAGTTATTTGTAACTTCATAATTTAGTTATATCCTCGGCTCCAGTTTTTGAGTCTTGTTCACATGCCATGTGTAGAAATGGGTATTCGTTAACCTGTCTTGTTCGCTACACGTCTATGATACTACGTTTCCACTGCTGTGAAGAGATAAGGGTTTTTGGCATGATGAAGATGGGTTTAGAAATGGCATTCAGCATTTGATAGGCTGAGGTCTTGTGCTGTTCAAAGATGAAGTGTCGGCACGTGATCGTGTGAATTACGGATGCAGCGTTTAGGGTATATGTGCTTGGTGGGGTTGGTGGATAGCAACTATTCGTGGCTACCCCTACTACAAGTAACTTTGAATAAGTATACGTTTCTTTTTACTCGAAAGTGCCAACTGTGAGGACATGTATGATAGAAGAAAATCCCCGATTCTAAGAAAACACTCTTCGACAAAGAATGAGGCTCAAAACATGATGACTATATGTTGTCCGAAGCTTCTGTCAAATGACGTACTACGTCCCGTGGGGGCCAAGTGAACGCGTGGGTATCCTTGTGGCTACTGTCTACACTGCGCCTCAAGGCACTGGTAGCAGCATGTAAATGTGCAGCACACTTACTGACCACTGCCATCAACCGACTTGAGCCTCAGGATCGTATCGCTGGTTGCGTAACCTACTACCAAGCCACTACGTCTCTGCGCCACAGAGAAATTCCCTCTGTACCGGTCGCTTCATGCACAAGATGTAGTCATGGGACTTTGCTTTTGATAAACGGAAGCGAACGGCCTCCTGCCTTATCGTTGTGGCGCCTGGATTAAAAGGGCGTTCAGGCAAATGAATTCAAGTTGGGCTGTGTCTGCTTGTACTCAGCTGGTACGCCAAGACAAGATATCATTCGCACACATAGTCACATCCTCAGATACAATGCTACCCACAGCCCCGCCAAATATTGGCCAGGCATCTCCCAGAGATTGATTCCCTGAATGGAAGTCTTGAAACCGTGGCCGCAACGATGGGATCAGTGTTCTATGAACCATGCAGCGGACTATGCTACCCGGAACAAATCATTATACACAGAAAGTGTTGTGTAACACCAGCTTTACTCCACAGTGACAAGGTTAGGGCCATACGATCGCAGTCCGCTAGTATGCCTGGTGCAGATATCCCGCTAACGGCGTCGTTGCACAGATAGTAGGCAACCTGATCTGCCCTTCAAGCCTCATTGAAGTTTTTGACACAGCCTACCTCTCAGACATTGCTATACTAGACTAATATTCCCGGAAGCTACGGCTGTCGTGATTCTCGCCTCTTTGCCTCTTCTCCGTCCTTTGACACATTTTGGGGGTATTATTTAAGTGATTGCCACACCTGAATCTAGTAGTTTGTCCGAATACTATATTGCACTCAAGACCAATCCCCAAATAACTTACTCGTCTTCCTACATACCTCGAGTATTGTGAACAAGGTTAGAGTCATGATAAACCTCAGGGGCCTTCGGCCCATGTTCTTCTTCACCAAGACCAAAACCCCTTCGATCCCTCGCAAAGTCTCTCAAATCTTCACATCCCCCAAAAAAGAAGAAACATATGAGCGAAGGCTCGATATAACCATGAGAAATGGGGGGGAAGAACGTTGGTCTGTACCAACCCATGGAGTGGCTATGTTCGACACACAATGCGAGCACAACCTGGTCACCACCAAGTTCCTCAAGGAAATCGGCTTCGAGTGGCAGCCGTCCACAGACGATACCCAAATCACCCAGATGAACAATACCAACATCAAATGTCTGGGTGAGGTCCAAGGAAGATGGTACCCGATTGGCGCTCCAAAGCGCCCGTGGTACCTGGCTGGTGTTCCAAAGCGTCTCCTAAAGGGCTTGAACTTCCGACCACGCTATGAAATCTGCACCTTCAAGATCGTTGATCTGCAGACGTTCGACCTCATCATCGGGCGCACCACCATCAACGATCTTGGACTGTTACAGACAAATCGCAGCTTCTTTGGTGCATTCCGTCCAGTCCCCATTCGCGTCGACTGTAAGTTTGCAAAACTCGCGCTGTGGACGCTTGATTGCTAACTTCGATACAGCAGCTAGTACGACTACTAAGAAGCAGCAAGAAGCAGATGAGCGCAGAAAGAAGGCAGAAGAGGATATGCGGAAGCGTGAAGAGGAGAAGGTATGTCGCTGTTGTGACTATACCAAGAATATAGTACTGACCTAGTTAGGCACTCGAGGCCAAAGCCACCTAGCGATACCCGAATGTCGATTATTCAACTATCAAAGGAGTTACCGACTTTATTACACTGGGCTGCTGTTGAAAATACGTCTTTCAGTCGTTGCTGAGAGCACCGAACAGCATTCACGCTACGGAATACTACAACAAGGGAGAGGGGAGAGGATCAAGCGTCGGGATTGCTCTCAGACTCTAGCTGAGGGTACTCCATGGTGGGGGGCGAGCGCCATCTAATAAGCTGCCTGGCGAGCGACCAAAGGTGCTCCCCCCACCCAACTCGGGCTTGACGAGTGGATCCATGCAGCAGCCATTCCCCTCCGGTACGCTGCATGTACCAATATTGATGGCGTTATGTGGACAGAATCATTGGCGGGAGTTTGGATTTAGCCGGTTTCATTCTTGCATTGCATTTCAGCTGGGAGCAGGTGGGAAGCGAGCGATTGAATTTAGCTACGACTGTAGCATTATTTGCATTGAACTGCCAATCTACATAGTAATACTACACTTTATGACGTTGTCTGCATCACTACACTTTACACCTTTCTTCTACTACTAATCGCATCAATCTCCCTTGACTTGATCTGACCCTACAAAAACGACTTGAACAGCCGCAAACCTGAGCTTTCGTTAGACGAACCAGAGTTATCAACGGTGACATATAGGAAAAGGACTTACGCGGCAGTAATAGCAAATACATCCGCTCTCCTCGCTCCCGTCAAGGCCATCAAACAAATCGACACCAATACGTTAAAACCCGCAATGATGCCCAACCTAGCCGACATGGACTGAACAAGATACAGCACTACAATCGACGCAATCGGGATCAGCGAAGCAAGGATACTTGTAATCCAGTATGTAATACGGTAAATCGTACTGTCTTCATATCCCACAACTCCATGGACACGCGAGGGCTTCATGAAGCGTGCGCAACCGCATCGGAAGAGGTTGACGATTGTGCTTTCTGCTGCCCACGCAGAGAACGCGTCCTTCTTCTCCCGCGGACATAGAGTAATTAGATCGGGCTTTTGGGAGTCGCGGTCGTGGACGGAGCCCCAAATGGTTGCGTCGTCGCCGGTTAGAGCGAGGGAACCCATTTCGGGGGTTTGAAGGTAGTCTTGCATGTGGTGGAGGTCCCAAGAGCCGGGTTTGGGGTATTGGAGGATTGATGCTTGTTGGATTAGGGCATCATCTGTCGGTATCAGTATAACTCACACTATTCTTTGAGAGATTTCGAAGCATACTGTATTCTTTGAGCACTTGTCTGATTCGCAAAATGAGTTCCTGCTGCTCTCCAGCATCAGTGCCTTCGGAATCCTTGAGCCAGAACCAGTTCAGCGCGTAGGGTGATCTCTTGCCGGACGGGTCGTTGGCATCAAGTTGCTGGCGCTCCCGCAGTTTTCTCTCTAGGTACGCAAGTTCAGCTTGCATGTAGAGTAGGTTCTGGGCGTTCAGAGCACCGAATCTGCGAAACATAGAGAGCTCGGGGAGTCTCTCCATTTTTGCAGCTAACTTCGGGTACCCGACGACATACTCCTGTAGCGGGTCATGTGATGCACTCATGCTTCTGGTTTTATGTCAAAAAATCAAGGTCTCTGCGACGACAGGCTGGATTTCCATGGCACCCATATATCTTAGCCACAGTATATAGCCTGCCATGGCAGAGCTATCGTTAGTCCTGGGGGTCCTGCAGAATGGCCTTCTTCTGCATGTGGTTGCCTTGTGAAGCAGGCTGAGTCTGTTCAACAAGCCGCGAGGTACGTTGTACCTCATACCGAGCTACTCGTGTAACATTCATCGACACTGTGTCATTTTATCAACAAGGCCATAATTCTCATACGTAGAAAATGACAGGTTCCGTGGGCGTTCTATACCAGACGTTGTTTGTCCCTGTCTGTGATGGTGATGCCTAACAGCAAGTCGAGGCGCTGACTTCCGGGCTGCCTCGGAACGTCAAGCAACTGTGGATCCCGGTGAAACAAATTTGGAAATGGCAGTGTCTTGGTCCTGATGTAAGTCCATGTGTATGTGAAGGTTTCATTGGGTGGCTGCAGACTGTCAGCTGCGAGTACTAGTATTGCACCCGTGTTCCGGCGCTACGTAGGCGACTAACCGTCCCCACCTGCAGCCATACTAACTTGCATCTCCCCGCCGCATCATTCAAAAAGTGCGTCCCACAGCGCCCTTCTTTGACCCTTGGATTCCAAGACTGCCTAGTTGAAGGCAACAATATTTGCTCAATAGTGACTGATATCGCACGCGGACTGCGCCCTCATAGCTAAGCCTCGTTCATGCTCAATCGATGACCACAAGCCACCCTACGGATTCAGCCTTGTCACACATGTCACACGGCTGAGCCAGGTGTAGGTTGCCTTCTTCTCAGCTATGACGCCACAATATCAACATGTATTCGCCCCGCTAACAACTTTATGGCAAGGGCACAGCCTCTACGGTTTACTCATTGGACGTGACTCGCAATACAAGGGGGGTTGTAAGCGGCAAATGGTGCATGGATCATGATATAGACATCGACTTGGACGGTAGTGACTCGTTCTGCCTACATCAGCAATCAGGTTACCTATTGGTCCCTTTAATAAGAGACCTGGTCCTCCATTCTACACTGTCGCGAAGTCTTTCAACTTTAACGAATGTCGAACCCAACATAACAATATCCACTACCAGCACATCCACCATCTTATTTTACGCACTGTACGTGAACCGAACAAAATCATGAATCTTTGGACATGCGAAATTTTGAGCTTATTCTCGTTTGTAGTATGCTACTCTTCCACGTTTGAAACCACTATTGACACATTTCAGAGACGACTAGGATTGTATCAAGCGACTCGAATCGAAATATGCAGTCGGCGCAGAAATGAGAAAGATACCTGGAATCGGGCTGTGCTCACATGTGACCCGAGAATCGATTATAACATTATATCTCAGCAACTCGTAGCAGAGGTGCTGCAAGCGCGAGTACAGCCAATAGACGAAAAAATGGATTCATACGTACATACGTACGACCGTGGCGAAAAAGTAGTAGGATACGTGGATCTTACTTGGTGTCTTGAGAAAAATAATAGACGGATGCAAACCACACGGTTCTGGGTCACCTCGACGGAAAACCCTTGCTACGATGCGATCCTCGGGCGGAAGGATGCAGAGAGATGTGGTCTCGTAAAACATAAATGGGGATGTTTGGTTGGTCATGCGTAGGGTATTTGGAAGGGGACTTTGCATATCATCACAAGTCGTACTCGTGCTTGAGCTGAACACGGAGTTCACTCAAGCTAAACACTTACGTTACTTAATCCAAACGTGAAGATTTCATTCTCTTTCGGCGTTTCGCTTTGGAATTTCTAGAACAATATATCTCCTACTTTGGCTACTCTTAATTTCTCTTTGACAACACTCAGTTTGGGAAGCCCCTTGTTATGCGTTGGGATTGATATCAGCGTATTCAGAAACTCCTTGCTACTGAATGGCTCTATACATGCCTTGATATAATTGCTTCAATAAAGTGATGACTCAATATTTCACAGAATTTCCATACTAGTCAAAAACACTGCACTCAAAGCCATCGGCCACGAGCATCCTTCTGTTCTTTCAAGTACCATGAGTTGAGAACAGGATCATCACATCTAGAACAGCGAGCCAAAGCAGCAATATGAGTCTTCAGCTTCAGCATTTTAGAGAGATGTCATATTGACGCTAGATATTTGCAAGGCTCACATAGCAGACTTTGAATGACTACTCGTAGAAGACTATGAAGTTAGGCTGCTCTGATAAAGAGCAAACGTAACTAATGACATCTCCACACCTAGCAAGACTAAGAAGAGGTCAACTAGGCATAACATAATGACTTTATTAAACTCAAAAACCAGTGCTAAGAAACTAAGCTAACTATATGTGTACGTGGGTATCAAAATCCATCCATCTACCTCTCCCCAGCACCATATCTGGACAGAATATACACCCCCTCCCCCAAATATCCTAAATAACAGGCGTGCTATCAATCAATACCAGCGCAATGCTTTTCCGCGATATTCTCGCCATAACACCTAGCTCCGGCGCTTAGACTCTTCCTTCACTATCAGTGCCTAGTTATGCGCCGCGAGAAGTGATGAAGTGGTGACGCTCAGCCCGTATAGCATTCATTTCAATATTCCATTTCGGTATCTCGTATACGTAGAGAAAGAAGGGGGGGAGGGGAAAGTTCTCACGACAAACAATACAGCACTATCTTAGCAAACAGTATGTTACACCATATCACTAGGTTTAGATATACTTCCCTCTTTCTCATTACCCGAGCCCAACAGCACAATCATCCTACTCCTACTCCTACTCTTTCTTCTCCATCCCCAAAGAAAAAAAAACCTCAGTACAGCAACAATAATCCCCAGTGAAACAACCGTAGCAACAGCCGCCACCTGGTCCCTCTTCGAACGAAACCGTACACCCTCTTTCCCCATCAACCTAATCTACTGCGTACCAACAACCGCAAACACCTATGACACGCCAGTGGGCGGACATAAAGGAGGTGTTTAATATCTTTGCTCGTTTTGATACATTATAATATTGCGAGATTATAGATGGAAAGTAGACAACATGGGAGTTTTTCTCAGGTATCAATGATCAGAGAGGACTCCCTCCCTCTCTCTCTCTCTCTCTCTCTCTCTTCAAAAAGTGTATACAACAAAAGTGAGATGTACATTCACCTGTCCAGCTCAAGGGTAAACGATAGACTATCTTCTTCCCCCACTTCCGCCATCATTATTCAACACAGTCTTTTCCGATCTACTTTCCCACGCCTGGACATTTACCATTGAGTGTTCATAGCTTGACTTTCTAGTTGCGGCTTAAAGTGGTTGAGCATGTCCGTTTTCATATGGGATGCTTGCTCCTAGGCAGCACTAAGTGGGTCAGTTTTAGATGAGGCTAATAGACTCGATTACTCAATGGGTCGGGGGGATTAGTAGGGTATTCTAGGATGGAGGCGAATCCAGCAGATGGAGTCGTGCTTTGCTGTCAGTTGGAAACATATGCAAAAGGAACTAGAGATAGTCACGAAAAAAAAGGCATCATCAATGTATACTAGAATTGCTTGTAGATAATATGACAATGTTTTCTTCATTTGTATCCTGGCATTTTCAATTTTCATATACGTATAAACTTCAATGTGTAATCATTCTGCACATTGAATTAAGCCTTGTAGCCAGCCTCGAACAGACCCTCCTTCAAGCTTTCAATAGCCTTGGTGATATCTGGACGGTTGGGATCTGTTACGCTAACACCCATGTGACCAAATCGGATGTACTTGGTCGCAATCTCCTTGTGCAGACCACCGGCAAAGATGACACCCTTCTTCAGGAGGTTGGGGAGCACTTGAGGAGGTGTCATACCCTCAGGAAGGTAGATGGCGGTCATACCAGTAGCCTGGTTCTCTGGCTTAGAAGCCAATTGCTTGAGGCCCAGGTCCTCAACGGCCTTTTTGACCTTTTGTGACGCAGCCTTGTGGGCAGCCCAGTAGTCTTCAATGGGTCTCGCGAGGATTTGCTTGAGGGCGGTGTCAAGGGCGTGGATGAGTTGTGGCGAGGGAGTCGCAAAGTAAGATGGCTTCTTGGCTTCGTAGTTTTGCATGACTAGAATCGCGTTAGCATGATGCTGTGAGTATTCGAGTGAATAATTGTTGCTTACTTGGTAGCCAGTTCTTCCATGAACCAAAGTACGAAGTTGGCCGTGTCTTTCTTGCCTTGAACCTTTCGATTGCGCGACCAGACACCATCATGATGCTCAAACCAGCTGGGCAGCCAATACCCTTTTGCGAGGCTGTGAGAACGGCATCGAGCTTCCATTCGTCGAAGCGGATCTCTTCAGAGCCAACACTGCAGACACCGTCTACTACGACCAGCGTCTCGGGGCTCACTCGGTGGACGAGCTCACTGAGTGCCTTGATCTCGCTCAGCACACCAGTTGATGTATCCACATGGGTAACAGTGAGGATCTTGTACTCCTTCTCCTTCAGCGCTGCTTCGACCTCGTCGAGTTGTGGCCGGTCGCCAATGGGCGCCTTGAGTTGTGTGGCCTTGACACCATATGTCTCGAAGCAGTCGGCAAACGAGTCGGCAAAGTAGCCAGTGTGTAGGACGAGAACCTCATCGCCGGGCTCGACCAGGTTGGCGGCGACTTGATCCCATCCGAGTGTACCGGAGCCGGAGATGACAAAGGGTTGCGCGGCAGGGTCGGTGGAGACGAAGAGCTTGCGTAGGTTTCCTAGGACTTCGCTGAAGGTGTTTACAAAGGGCTGGCCAACATGCGACTCGCTAGATGTACTTAGTCAAGCGTCTTAGTGATATATAACTGCAGCATACCTGTAATGGCTCATGGAGTTGAGGACAGCATCGTCAAACTCAATAGGCCCGGGGATGAGCAGGGCAGGGTGTGGTGGTTGGCTGGACATGTTCTTCGGTGGTTCCGGCGTGGCTTCCTTTGTCTCCTTGACTTCGGGTTCGACTGGCTCGACTGGCTTGACTTGTGCCTTGACTTCTGGTTCCTTGGATATT